TCTGCCGATATTGATTGTATAGGCTGTAGGGGAAAAAAAAATCGCAAACGGGACGTCGCTTAAGTATACTAATCAGCGTTTAATTACCAGATTGTTATCTTCGCTGCTGAAATGGACCGACTCGACTGGACTCGAGGAGATTATTATCACCTCTTCATATACCCAATTGTATCAGCTTGAAAGTTATGGCCGAACGAAGTTGAATCGACATATTGGATACAGAAGACTCGCTAGCTCTGAGCTCGTAACTTTTTAACAAGGGAAGATACCAAGTTCCTTCAAAAGTCAAACTTTACTGTTTTACCGAAAACGGGAAAATATACGAGTTGGCAAATAATCTTGTTCCGCGTAATTCGTATTATCCTCCTAAAAAGTAAAATCCCTTTAAAAAATATTGCTCGTAGATAAAGAAATGTAATTTGCAGCACGTTTTACCCATTCATCGGGTGTCTCATAAGTATCACGTTAAATTCAAGACGTCGGGACGCCCGTAAGACACTAATAATATATCTGTAGATGCACGTGCGACAACATCTCAGCTGGAATGCGGGTGATACAGGAAGTCTAGTGAACCGGAATATGCAATTTTCCAAGGATGCAACGAAATACACAGTGCAGCACCAACTGCATCTTATGATCCTGTTTCCCATATGACTCTGTACCTTCTTGCATAGTCCTAGCACAGTACCGTAGGCAACGTTCTTCGGATATTACACGTCCGTCACTCTCGAAACAGCGTATCTACCTGTATCTACCTACAGCGGCATACCATCCAGCATCCCATCTCTAGTTTGTTATGCTCCTCCTATTTTATGAGGATGCCTGGATATCGGTCTCGGGTATACACCCTAGGGAATTTCGACCTTATACCTAGTAGGCTCTCCAGGAAGGCCCATTTTTGGTATTCAGATCAGGAAACAGTCTGCGTTCCAGTTTCCACTATCCCCTAAAAAAATAACCACGAGATAGAAATTTCTAGTCGGTACTCCGAGAAGTAAAAAATGGTCCGCAAAGATACTATTGTAAACGAATAAAATTTTATCATAAAAAGAGGAAGGCCATTATCGCACGCTAGTGTACCACCCCTATACGTATAAACGAGACGTTTAATATTGTAAGCCTGGTAGAGACGAAGAAGAGAAGAAAATTTTTAAGAATGCTTCAAATATTCAAAAAGCTGGAATTTATGATAAAATAATTCTGAATTCAGTCTCCTCCGTGCGTGGGATCTTTACATGGAGCACAGGGTAGGGGTAGAGGGGTGGATTTAATTAATTTATACAGTCGACTTTTATACGACATGCAACCAAGTACTGGTGAACGTAGAGAAAGCATCTTCGGCAGAGGCAGGCAAATGGCTCTTATCGTTCTCTCGTTGGGGTGATTACACCCCTTTCTGGTATTTTTGAGGCGTCCCTGGCACACGGACACACCGCTCTTCGAAAACATAGGCAGGCACTGTGAATCCACGAAGAAGTTACGTGGTGCTAGAAGATTTTAATATGTGACCCGTCTCGAGTCTCACTTTGTAATTGTGCCCTTTGACTGGCGCGATTCTGCGGCGGGATCAAAGGGGATTGAGGGTGGTTGACGGTTTTCCACTTTGAGGAAATTCCGTGGCCGATTGGCTGCGACGGCGTCGGTGGCGTCGGTGGCGTCGGCGACGTCGGACAGGACAAACGAATGGGTTATGAATTAATGAGGAAACAACGAGGCGCTAAAGAGTCAAAAGAAGATTATACCTACGGAAAATGATAAAACGATGATAAAAGCTAATCCGAGCGACTCGTTATCCCTCGATCTACCCGCAGCTTCCAGCCAGAAGATTAAAGCCTGTATAGTCTGGACCCTAATTCCTAAGGGACATATCTGCACCTGTGAACCCTTCGTAGACCTAACGACAAGGATCACGGTTTCCTTGCTGAACTTTTTTTTTCCATTCCTTCTGTTCTGCGTGACTCCCCTTTTTGGTCCATTATCTTCATTCTCTGCTGTTTCACTTTGTCCTAGTTATTTTTTGCAAAAATTACAATGAGGACCAATGGCGGCTTCGATGCAATCGAGAGGGGTTGTTTGCTTTTGGAAATATATATGTGGGCTGTATCTTTCCCCTGAAACCTTTCTTCCTACCATTTCAGCCTATCGAGGGTCTCCTTCACCTTTTACCTTTTTTCTCTTATAGGCATACCGACCACCTACCCCTATTCCGGACCCACCTACCACCCTCCTGTCGGACCCCCAACGATAAATGTTTACCTTGAGTTCCCGGAGGGATGATAAATGCAGTATCCTCTCGTGGATCCTCGCACTCGCGTCCATTTCCACTCTTGAATTACTTCGGGAAAAACATCGTGTTTTCCTTTTAAACTTTTCGCCAAACAGTCGCAGTTTGTCCTCGGTGAAAAATCTGTCCACCCCTTTCCGCACTGTGCCAAAGTGGAATCAATTTTCCATCGAGAGTTACTGAGATTCTTCGGGCAGACGTCATGGGAAAATGCACGAGATGCACCAGAGGATGGTAGAGATAACGATATTAGATAATTGTGTAATCGGTCGGCGCATGCGCGGGGCGCACCGGAGGCCTCTAGTAATTGTAAAAGGCTGATAAAGAAAGGGGGTTGTTCGCCTGTCGCAATGCAGTCGTTGCACTGGAGCCTATTGGCTCTAAGGGCACTAAGGCTCGGAAAAGGGGGCTAATAAGAAAGAGAGAGAGAGAGAGAGAGAGAGAGAGAGAGAGAGAGAGCTCTTCTGCCCTTTCTATTCTCGGGGGCACTCGACAAGGGAGAAAAATTGTTAAGGGTTCTTCGCTTAAGCATTTAAAGGGTGCAATCAATTCTGTCTGTAAACCCTCTTCGCAGAATCGTTGTTATGTCAATTTAAAAAAAAAAAAACATCCCCTCGAACTCGATACAGCCACTTATTGAGCAACCCTTAGACTGCATTCAAGTACTATCTTTTTCTATGCTATTTACTTTATAGTCCATCCAGCACGGTCATAAGGCAAGCGGGTTATGTCTTAAGGGTTGGAAAGGGGTTGCGAATCCGGCGAAAGTTCCGTGTTTAAGGGTCGAACAGGGTAAATCGGTATAAAGGTAAAGTCAAAGGCAGGGAAGAAAACACACGGTTGGATTTATTGGTGAACTTTAGAAGAAAGCTCAGTGGGGTTCAAGAGTAGAGGGATGGACCCTGGATTCGGCGATACTGGGGGGACGGAAGGAGTAAGGGTCTCTGGTGGGGTCGCACACTAGGGGTGGAAATGGTCCAGGGCAGGATAGGGAGTGGCGGTTAGTAGAGCGCCCGCAGGGTGGTTATGACGCGGCTGTAACCTTGGCAACTCTCTACCCCTTCTGCTCTTCGTCCCCTATGCGACTCTCTGTCTCTCTCCCCCCGTTTCGCCCATCCTCCCTCTCTCTCTCTCTCTCTCACACACACACGGAATCTCCAAACGCCCCCGCTCCCCCCGCCTACAAATCGGCCAAAAGTGGAACGCGCCCTATTCAAATGGATGCACATCTCATATCATCCTTCTTCTCTCTCACTCTCGGAAACGGTCGCAAGCATCAGGCGAGGCGAAACGAGTGTCGAGTCGTCAAAATGAAATTCCCCAGCAACTAACTCGGCAGCGTGCACTTATTCGCGCGCCTCAGAGACCCGCAACTCTTTGGGTCTGTAACACGTGTTGAAGGAAACGTCAGGCCGTTTAAGCGCAGTCGGCACGAGCGACGGAGCAGGGAAGACCGAAAGTAAAGCAGCGAGGGCAATGAAACGTAATGGCGCCAGGAACGACGATCCTTGAAAAACTAGCAGCACGGAGGCGGAAGAGTGGAGAAACGCACACCGGGCGGATTCTCGCTACAGACTCCGAGGGTCCATTCCGGCCCTCGGGAGTAACAAAATGCCAGCCATACTTCCCGGCAGGAATCCCAACCAGATTTTCACAGCCGCTGCAACTATTCGCATACCGTATTACGTAATAAGCATCCTGTGGGAGATTTCCTAACGCATTCCTGGAAATGCATCCTGCGGCAGGATCGGCAATATCAGCCCGACGTAAACGCACCGTTGCGATATTGCCTTCATGCCGCAGAAGATGGCGCATCGGTATGCGTTTCACGCGCATACGCGTCTATATCGCAGAATAATATCCTAGAGGGAAGTTGATGAGAAATAAAAGAAAGCCACCCCAATCGCGATAAGAGTCGCGGACTCCTTGGAGCAGCATTTGAATTTAAGGGTGGAAAGTGGGCAGGACGTGCAGAATGTGCCCAGGGTGGCCGAGGCTCGCGTGCCGCGGAAACGCATCCCCGCGAGCTTCCCGGTCGGCCTGTGTTTTGACGGGGGTGCTAACTGACCCCGGTCTGTGGGTTCTGCCGTATACGAGGGGTTGCGAGAGGCCGGAAGAGCCGTTAGGGGTGGTTCGGGGAGAGGGGCTGGGCCGAGCCGAGAGTCGAAGAGGGTGGCATTGGGTCGAGGTCACCAGGACGCTACGCCGATCGATGCAGCCTGCCAGAACCCTCTTCCAGCCCTCTTTGAGCTTGCTTCCCTCCCTCAACTTCTCCGCCCTTATTCGATCCCCCCCTCCCCCTCTACTCCCACCCTCTCCTTCTCCTCTTCTTCTCTTTTTACTCAACGAACACCGACGCGCAACCCCTACCGGCCACTTTTATCCGGACACCCGTTACCGCTCTAGTCTACCTCTCGTCATCCCTTAACCACCCCCCCCCCGATTGCTAACAGGATTTAATGCTCTTTGCCGAGGAGGGGTGGGCCGGGAAGCGCTCAATGCCGCAGCATTCCTGCAATTTATTCCTGATTCCGTCGAGCGTTTGTTTCTGTTAAGTACACAACTCCCCGACCCGAGGAAAAATATTTTGTTGTCTCTGGGTATATTGTTATTTGCATAATTGAATGAAACAAATAAGCGCCAACACGTGTTTCTACCCTTACTCGTTGCGTGTCTTCCCCTTTAGTCCGATGGCCATTGCCTGCTACGAATCAAGACTGAAGGGGATGCGTCGAGATGGACTAGAAACGAGGGTTGCCATAGGCCATATTTTACAGGTCGTTTCAGCGGTTATCCTACACACAGCAATTTCCTAAAGGTATGCCACACCGGTCGATAAAAAAAAAAGGCTCAACTCACATCGCAACGGAATTTACCCTCGACGAAGAGAAATTGCTTGCTCGGCATTTTACAAATGTAATAACCAACCCCTAATGGCCATAGCTGCACCTACTCGAAAGGCGCTTCCCGGCGACCAATCAGCCGCGAAAGAACATCTGGAATCGCACCTTCCTTTGTCGCATTTCTCCCTGTTTGGTTTCCAAGGACTCGCGATCGCAGTCGCCGAATTTTGGCAAATGTTCCGGTTCCTCCGTTCAAACGTCACGGCGTCCCCTCGCACGGGATAAATCCCCAGGTCCACATTTGGAATCCCAGTTGAAAAAGTCCCCAGGGTCAGCGGCCACGAGCGATCGGGCGAGTCGTGCGAGTGGCCTTCGTTCGGTCGCCGCGACGCGTATCATGCGAAGAGGCTTGATACGTTACGACGTGAGTATCCTTCCAGGAAATGTTATCCTTGGCGCAAGGACATCGTCCTCTGTATTATCCCACGGGACACGCTCGCCACTGTCATCAGGTACCCACTCAGCTCCGCGACGCTTTCGCCAAAATAAGACGATCCACCCCTGTCATCCCCATCATCCCCATCATCCCCATCACCCTGATCGCGCAGCCATATAATCCGCAGCTTCCGTCCAGTAAATCAAATCGAATCTCACAAGCCCCTTCTCGTCCCTCCCACCCTCTAGGAACATTTAGATTCCTCCACGTCCACTCAAGAAGACTCTTGCTTGTCCTCAGAACTCGACCTACTAAACCCAAGGTAGCCAAGTAATCCAAGTCCCCCAGACTATTTACCCCGAGAAACCTCCGCCTGGACTTGACTCTTGTCTGTCCCCTCGCAAAACCAGAGTACCGGGACCAGCTCATCCTGACTCATCGCGACGGTCGGCGTCGCATCCACGTGAGGACTCGCCCAGTCTTCTCGACTACGGGAGAAAGCCGAGAGCTCCAGGTGCGTCCGTGGCTCCCGACACTGTCGGGACAAAATTACGTAAGTGATGTAAGTTGACCGAGAAAGCTCGCCCCGGGTGCGCATCTTCAGGACTCGTTGAGCTTTCTCTTTCAGTGACGGTCAGAAAGAGTGCTGCCAGCAAAATTACGTCGGGACGAGGAATCAGCACGAGTCTCCAGTGCCTGCCAGTGAAGGGTCATCCACATAAGTATGAGGTAGGCGATGAGATAAAGAAGGTCGAAGGTCAAAATTGAGAACGGGTCAAATAGCTGTCAAGAAAGTTTTTAAGTAGCTGAATAAGGTTGTTCTGGTTTTCCACCTTCTTCCTTCTCCTCACCCCCCCGCCCCCTCCCCGCCCCTCCTCCCCCCACCCCCTCCTATTGCATCATACCTTTTCAAGTTTTTACTTACCTTCCGTACCTCCCCGCGTAACTCCCGCCATGGTTGCGTCCTGATCCCAGCACCAAGTAACTTTTGCCGACTCGAGGTACTCCAGTGGCGAAGGGCCGACTGGCAAAGCCGACAACAAACTTCGGTAATTATAAAAGTTGCAAGCTAGATAAAGGCAGGCAGCAGCCTCCGTCGCCGGACGGGCTCCGTAACCTTCTAACCATCTCGAGCGTTTCGTAACCACACAGGAGAGGCAAGGGGACGCCCCGCATTATTAAAGCGATACGTCACCACGCCAGGAAGCGTAAGTCACCAGAATATATTTACACGGGAGATAACATTGCCTCCCAAAACTTGACGGAGGACGGTGCTGCCGTTCGTGGCAAAAAGTTTTTTCAAAATTACGGAAAATTTCGTTAATCCATATTTCGTAAAGCAGACATCAACGGTTCGGAGATACGAGAGGACCAATCAGCATCCTCGATTTATCCACGGGAAGAGAACAGCAAGAGCAGCGTGGTCGTTCTGTATCACGGAAAATCCCCGACGCCTCCTAGATCGCCTAGATCTCCTAGATCCCTTGTACGCAGCTCCAAGTCGGAGGATACGCTCTGTCCTAAGATCTGCTCCTCGGGATATCCCGATAGAGATCAGTCCACCAGGTATAATTTGGTCTCAGGACAACAAACACTTTGTCAAACTGTATTATTTTCTATCTAGAAAACTCCAGTATCTTCCGTCCCCGAGGACGTCGTTACGACGGAAGAGGGTGCGAAGATATCGTCAAGGAGGCAGAAGACAAGAGACGGAAAACGCGAGCGGCGTTCGAGAGAGTAAACTGGTCCAGTTGGCACAGAGAGATCAGTGGCGAGTCGAGAGGCAGGAAGTACCCCTGGGAGCGCATGAGGGTTCATCCAGAAGAGGCAGGTCCAGCTCCCAAACGGTCCAGCAGTCTCAGAGAGGAACCTACGGGATCTTAAGGACCAGAAGGACTGTCAAGGAGCAATGCGGTCCATCTGATCCTTTGGCTTTTGGCTCGAGGCAAATGGCTCATCGTTTGAGGTAGCTCATTCCTCATGATCGTTTCCGGCATTCTCTTCTGAATTAAGGACGTTGTTTGCCGGTACAGTCTGCCGAGAGAAGAATTTATAAATCGGGATCATTATCCTGCCGGTGGATTAGGCACTCTGATGCAGCAGGCGCAGATGCACCCTGGAGAAAATAATACAGAGGAAAACAAGAGAGTCTTTCCGTTTCAGGCGACGCCCAGCGGAAACTTGAAGATCATTCCGAATCAGGTCTCACTGAAGAGTCTATGAAAGTCTTGGGTGAAATTTAGCAAAATTCAATTGAAAATAATTTGGAATTTTTTAGGTCGTTTTTGAGTCCAAGAAGGTCAGTGTCCTAGTGGCTGACCCTAGACACGCCAAGGTCGACGTTAAGGCCGAATTGAGTAGGCCTACTATAGACCTTCCACCTTCGCTCAGTAGTTCGATTACGAGTCAAGCACAGGTAGGCCAGTACTATCAGTTAAAAAAAAAAGAACCTAACGTGGATTTTTGTACTTTAGGCGCAACAGAAATTCTCACGCTCCGATAACGAGCACAGAATCAAAACTCAACCTCACAGAAGCAAAACGCATCAGAAAGAAGCCATGGACCAAAAGCAGACTGTGCATTCGTCATCGAGTGTCAAGACGTCGTCTTATACCGAAGTTCCCTTATCCTCGTGCGTTAAAAAAAAATCGGTTTGAGATTTCGTTGAAAAATTTCGAAATATTTTTTTTACCAGGCTAGGATTCACTGGAGAACAGCCAATAGACTGGGAGAATATTATTCTTCCAGAGAAGACAAATCTTTACCAGGAACTTGCCAGGCGTATTACAAACTATATGTAAGTCTGCTCGAGGAGTCTCATTATTTCCAAGTAAACTCCTAAACTCTTGCAGGAACGCTGATTGCATAGTACGTCTAGGCCAGGATGAGTTTCACTGTCATCTTCTCGTATTGCAGAGCTACAGTAGCTACTTCGATAAAAGAAACGACAAGGAGGTGGACCTGACGGAGGTGAGTTCGTCCCTGAAGACGTAATCATCCTCAAGCAATTCTAGCTATTGGACCAAAGCGAGCAGATCCCAGAAAGTCGTATCGTAAATGAGCATGAAAAAAAAAAATAGCAGGGACTCGTTAAGTGGGAGATTCAATTTTGGAAAAGTTCTTAAAAAATAATTGAATTATCCAAAAATTATTAGATTCAGCTAGGCACGTATATCACGTGTGCTCCATCGAGGCACACGCCCAGGTCGCAGCATCCCAACCCCTAACCCCGCAATTAATTAACAACTCCTCTACGAGATCTTCATTTCCATCCCTTTGGCATCTCCTCAAGGTCATTGCGAACCTCTGGAAGTCCTGAATAAGCTCAGCTTACTCAGACCCAGCCAAATATTTATCTTCTCCTGTTTCTGTCTTGTACTACCCTGGCAGACGTACCTCGACTCCCATAGCGTTTCATTGGGCCGGAAAGTTCTAACTGCACCCTTAGACCGTTTCCCTGCTTAAGAGCTACCCTCAATATTATCAGGCTCTTCCACGCACGAGACGTGGGAGTCCTGGCTATTTATCCTACCGAAATTCCATTCGCAAGGGACGATACGATCTTCCACCCTCCAGGTATCTCCCGCTGACTGACTGACTTTTTATATTTTTCCAGCCTCGTTACTCAGGGACGGCTCAGGCGATGCATCAGACCCTAGCAAAATATATTATAGATTTATTGGTTAAAGGATAGGATGCCGGATCGCGAATAAAGTCCTTTTGTCGCTTAATCCGATTTTACGCTCGACGATTATTTCGGACCTGCAGCTCCTCCGTTCCGACCCCTTTCGCCCCCTTTCGCCCCCTTCGGCTCCGTAGCCCTTCTACACGGATCCAGAATCAGGTTCCCGCGAAGGCATCGAATATTTTGAAGAATAAAATTCAATCTGAAATACGAGTGGATGAACGAAATCGAATAAATAGAGTGAAAAGATATACGATGGAGCAAAAGTAAATCGACTATATCCAAGATCTGAATGGTTTTGCTGATTGGTTATATGTGTGTGGATACAGAAAAACAAATAGGCTTATTGTTAGGATATAAGTAATGATGCGAGAGGCTCACGCGTCTACGTGTATTCCGAGTCTTCCATATATCCTGAATTCAATGCGTTCTAGCAGAAACGCTCTTGAGGGTGGATAGACAAGGGTTGTGACACAGGGGTGGCTACTGGTAGCGACCCCAATCTCTTGTGTCAGCATCAAGCAGTCCCCTCCATATCTGTGGCTCGAAGCCAGCCGACCTTGGACTCCTTTCATCCCTTCCCGTCAGGGGCTATACTTGACTCTCTTTGCTTGGGGGATGAATGGAGACTCTTAAATAACACTCCTGATACAGGAACCTCACTGCACGACGAGAAGCGACTATTTTACACGCCGAATATATTCTTTGGACATCGATCAAGGAATCTTTAATAATTTAAATAATTGAAACCCTTGGGAGAAACTTTCTCTGTTTATTCATCCCTTATGGTCTAAATCGTCCGATGTGTGGAATTCCTTGTATTTTGGAGTTATTAAACATATTTAATATATATATATATATGAGTATCTTGCAGAGCAGCGTAACGTCCAAGGCCTTCTCGATTATCTACGATTGGATGATCAGCGCTAACAACGACGGCTGCCATTTGCTGAGACGCGATAACATCCTCGAGATATTTACTGCTGCTCAATATCTTGGAATTAAAGGTGATTATAATTCTTTTCTTTTTTTTTTCTTCCAATTTTCAAGTAAAAAATTTAATAAAAATTTTAATCTCAGTTTTGAAACTTCTCTTTGTCTTATCAGAGCTTGAGGAACAATGCTGGGCTTTTATCGATAACGACGAACTCTTTTCCGAGGACACGGCCTTCTTGCTTTACCTGGAAGCACGAAAAATTGGCAACACCGCAGTCATGCAGCTTATGGTACCCAGAATCATGAAATTCTTCCTGATGCTCGTCAGCACTAAGGATTTTCTTGATTTGGACGTGGATGAACTTTGCCTCTTGTTACGTTCTAATTATATTTGCGTGAATAGGTAAATTCGTTATTTTCTTTTATAATTTTTACAAAATTATCCTCGATCACTTGACTGACGGGATTTTTCAATGTTTCTCTAGCGAAATGGAAGTACTCATGTCCGCAGTCAGATGGCTGATGCACGATTGGGATAACAAAAGGCAACATATGTTAGAAGTACTGAAATGCGTCCGTTTCGGCTTAATAGCGCCTTGGCAGTTAGTTGACGTCAAGAGAAATCCCGAAAATCCAGAATTCATGGAACTCATGTCCTACCCAGAGATACAGAAGATGGTGGACGACGGTTTGGCGTAAGAAAATCTCCTACGTGATATTAGCCGCTATCCAATAAATCAATGCGCAAAGAAATAATTTTAAAACGAACAAGAGATTCGCTGAAAATTCCTAAAAAAAATTAATTTAGATGGAATATCGAAATTCGATAAATTTAATTTTCGTATATCTCCGATGAAATTCAAATTTCATTTATTCTTCTTAATAAAGTGAAATACTTTATTGAAATTATCTTTTTTTTTTTTGCAGATTTGTTATAATCAAATATTGGTACGGAAATCAGTCCCAGGATTATTATCGATGGATCGATCTGTTGGGTCTGACGGAACCTACGAACCGGAACTGGGCCGGAGAAGACAAGGTAACCAAGGGATCCACTGAGAGCCAATAAAAGTCATCCCCTAGTTCGTAAACTTCCCCACGTATCCCAATGCGAGCGGAGTCATTTTTTGTTTCCCACAGAATTACGTGACCTATCGAGAATTTCTTGTGTACCTTGAGGACTACCAGAAAACGAAGATATCGGAATTAAAGTCTCGTAAAACAAGGGTGAGACCAACCCCTCCAAATTCACCCCCCAAGGATTCCCCATCGCCAGTCACCAGGACGAGGGTGGTTAATTCACAAAGTCCCAGTGGACTAAATATTTCAGGTAGCCTGGATACACGTGGAAATTCATATTTATTCAATCGGGTGTAGAAATTTTGAGAAAAAATTGAGAAATCCGCAGAGAACAAAAATAATATTAAAACGCTTTGATATTCGTCTAAGGGAGGATTTCCATTTTATATCTGTTTCGCTGCTGCTCGAGAGGATCAATGTAAATTTCGAATTTAAATTTCTTCCCGCCACTTCCCGCCACTTCCCTCGTTACTTAAGAAAAGTTTAAGCCAATTTTCTACCCTCGTCCTCAAATCAGCTACGCTTCTTAGGCCAAGGGGGTGACGCGCCGAACCACCCCTCGCGAACCTTCAGGAACAACGGGCGGATGCCAGCCTTTCCTGCAAGTGGACCAGGGGGTGCGATGATGTCACCAGAAATTTTGAATCACTATCTGAGCAGTTTGGATAGGAATAGCAAAGGGGTGAGTAAGATAGACGTCCCGACGCCTAACGACGCCCCTATCAACAGGACGACTCGCTGATGAAGAATCTCCTTCAGGACGAGATTGTGTATTTTTTTTGTACAAATTTATTATTTTCTATGGGACATACATATAGATATATATTCTCTAAGCCCTGGTTATTACATTTTTTTTTTTTTGAAAATTGGAATATATGATTCCGTGAAAAAAATTATTTGTCTCTCTCATTCATTTTGAAAAAGCGCGTCAACCGCTCAGCAAGATTCCCCGAGATTTTCTTGATAATGATCTTTTGAGAATGATCCGGTAAGTCCCGTCAAAATAGACTGATCCAATTTTTCCTTTTAATTCTGGTAATTTTTCAGAATAACAGTAAAATTCTCAAGGTAAGCCACGTGCCTGTAAGTGAGCACATTGTATATAGGTATAATTCAAGGTCAGAGTTAACGCCATAATTGCAAGTACGCTCAAAATAAGAAAAAAAAATCCAAAAACCGTTTAAAGCATTTTTCTAAAACCACATCTTGCATAAGAATTGCATCGACTGATCCACCATTCCTCGAGCATGCACTTACAGCGCATAACTTTTGCCTTGAGACGTTGCAAATAAATTAATATAATAATTGAAATTTGCTTCTGTGATCAGCAGGTGAATAACAAAGCCGAATTCAATTGCCAAACGGAGGCAAACGAGCTGAACAACGTGAAAGCGAATTTCCACGGCGACGGTGAGACCTTGATAAATTCGAGTTACAATTCGGTGAATCCAGGAGGAGCAAGTCAGGAGTCACGCAATCAGGAAGATCGTTCACGGGTACCGTTTTTTTTTTTTTTTTTTCATCGATCCTGACTTTCACTCTCGAATTAATAAATTTCTCCGCAGGAATTGACCACGGAAAAGGAGATACCACGTGATGCTCAACGTCATCACCAGGAACTAAGAAACGCGCTGCTTCCCTTGAAAAAGTATCCTAGAAAATATCCAAAAATTGTAGGACACCCTGTAGACGAGCCGGGAGCTTGCAAATCGTCTTGCAAATCGGAAGAGGAAGCTGCGACCAGGATTCAAAGCTTCTACAGAGGATTCAAGGTCAGATTGAACCTCAACGAATTACCGCAACGAGATGAGATTATGAAATTCCCACGAATTGCTTGGAAATACGCAGAGGAATGTTTCCAGATGAGAAGATCCTCCTCGGATGAGAAACAAAAGGCCAAAATGGTAGCGGAACTGCTGTCTGCGCCCGGTGATCAGGAAGGATGTCTTCAGAAGCCGATGGACCCGGTTAGAGTTTCGACGAGTTTCGTGACTTCGGGAATAACGGAAGTGGAAAGAATGGAAAACTCCTGGAGTCCAAGAAGGAAGAGACGAGAATCATGTGGGGCAGTTGAGAATTCCGGAAACTGTAGAGATTACCCTGGTCAGACACAGAGACTCGACCTGCACAAGGACCTCCAAGGACTAAGAGTTAATTTCTCTCTAAACTCCAGACTCTGGATAGTTCCTTATCGGTTGAGAATATTTCGAATTTTTATTTTTATTTTTTTTTTTTACCACTTCTTCATGTCGTTCCAGTTCGACGTGACTGCGCCTCGACCGACCCCACGTTCCCAGCAGAATCCACGAACGCAAGGTCCGCCGTTGTTCAAGAGTTCAGCGAACCAGGTCGTTACTGCGAAGCCTCTTGAGACTATAAAAGTTCCAGCATTTTCACATAACTGCGATGCGAGATTCAGTTCCGTATCCGTGTCCGATAATACGGATACGGATGACTTATTTTCGCCAAGAATTCGCGAAAAGTCTTTGGTTGATCTTCAGATCAAAGAGACCTACGGAGATCCCAGTTACCCTAACAAGAATCTCTATCGGCCTAAACCCAGATCCAGAGAAGTTCATTTTCGCACCGACAATACGAGTCACGATAGATCATTGGCGTAAGCAAAGAAATTTTATAATTAAATATATATAACATTACCGAGATAACAATGACTGTCAATAGAGTTCAGCATCCTAATCTCGGTACCAATCTCAACATGGATAACCTGGAGAACTCTTTATTTTTTCGGGAACGAGAGGCTGTGCTCGTCTTCGGTGGTATTGATCCTAATAAAGAATACGGCTGTACCGGAAATACCGGAAAAGATATGTACAGATATAGTCCGATAAAAAACGAATGGGAATTCGTTGGCGAAATACCAGAACCGAGACATCATCATTCCGTTGCCTATCTAAAGGGACGCATCTACTTAGCAGGTCGGTAAAAGACTCCGAAGTGTTTCTCTCTCGAGGCTTCTAGAACTTTCCTTCCGTGTCTGTTATCACGAACCAGGAGGTGCGGATCCTCGAGATAGTGAGAATGACAAAAGAAGTCTGGTGATGGATACTGTTTGGAGTTACGATCCAATTACCAGATGCTGGTTCAGTGAACCTGATATGCTGACACCGAGAAAAAACTTTGGTCTTGTCGTGAGTCATGAAAAAATATATGCGATTGGTGGACAAGACAGGAATGGAATGTAAGTGAAAGAATAAAAGAAAAAAAGAGTTAATTGATCAATCTGAAAAAAAAATCATCGTTGAAACGCTCAATGATTTGACAGCGCATTGAAGACTGTGGAAGTGTTCGATCCAAACGAATCAAAGTGGCAAGAAGTGCAACCCATGCAGACGGCCAGAGTTGGTTTGGCTAGTGCGAAGTATCAGGATTTAATCTGGGTTGCTGGAGGAATGACCAGGTCGAAAAAAGAGCCCCTATTGCGAGAAGTGGAGTGTTACGATCCTCCAAAAAATCTGTGAGGTTTCTTCTTGACCGTGTAGAATAAATGACAGTTAATAATAAAAAGAATCTTTGCAGGTGGCGAAAGGCTGAACCTCTGAGAGCATCGACGTGTTTCGCGTCTCTTTACGTTCTGGCGAAACGCCTCTACTTGATCGGCGGTGCTGGGAACGCTCGTTCGTCATTTGGAAACGAGAATTTTACGGAAAGTATGAATAACATCGATATGTGGGATCCGAGTTTGTGCCTGTGGCGCCAGCAGGCGAAAATTTCGTTCGCGAGACATGGACACAATGTGGCGTCGATAGGTAAATTTTGTTTGAACGCTTTCTACCTTCTCATTCGTCGGTAACAAGAATTTCTCTTTAAAATAGGAGACCGGCTAATGATTATAGGAGGAGTATCCACTATTTATACGAGAACTTTGAAAAGTGTCGAATGTTACTCTTGCGAGTTGGATACGTGGCATCAGAATGTGTCAGACTTACCTTACGCCGTTTCAGGACACAGCACCGTCTCGTTACCTGCAGCAAATACATTAACCGATTGTTAAAGTAAATGTTTTAAAGTGTCGGAATGTGCTAATTGTCCCCTGCATAGTTTCCGACCCGACAAATCATATTTTCGTCATTAAACGTCACATGCCCCGCGTCAATTTAATGTCAAAGTCTACTCTAGATAATTGTACGAATTGTATTCTGTTCACTGCTATGTTATTTACCTTTTGTTCACATGAAAAAATGATTTCTTTCCGTTCGGTTATCCTGTTCTCCGTCCAGTGTAAATCCTCGATGTTTCTGAAATTCTTGTGCAGCGTCGCTAGTGTCGTTTTGGCAAACGTGCGCCATCTCCCGCGCGTTAAAAGAAACGGTATCAGGAGTCGCTTATTGAAGTTTCGAAAAGTTTTGGATTCGAATGTGGCGAGCCAAGGAGCCGCGAGTAGGTTAACGCGAGTTAACCTGAAAATGGCCGAATCGGAGGACTCGGTAGTGTCAAGTGTTCTATCAAGTGTCGTGTCTCGTGGTCAGCCAAAGGTGCAACAGCTGTCAAGCCAGGAGCGTGAACAGGCCCTGGGCCCGACTGGTACGTAACGCTCCCAGCATATTGTGTCCCAGTTCGTAACCAGTTTATCCAAACAGAAGTGTAGAGCAGTGTAGAGCGCGACCATGCAACAAGTGGTACGGAGCGCTCTTGCATGCCGGACAGGAGCGTATCTAAATGGCACTACGGTTACTATTTCGGGAGCTGTTTCGAATGTCCTTACGGAGAGTCAGTGACTACGATTCGAAGGGCACCTGGAAAATTTCATATCGATAAAAGACATCTCGCTCCGATTGCGCTAATCGTTTCGCTGCGTTTGTTCTGGCAACAATCAGCATCGCGATAAAGCACAGCCACTGAATTTCAGGAGTGTACAGAGTGTAGGCGACTCGATCCTTAAGGACATTCACAAGTAAATAAATGTAAATCATGAAACGACCACTCGAGTCAGCCCTGATTTCGAATGATGTCACGACTGAATCATTCCGGATTCTCTGTTCGTATAAAAAAGACATTCACGTGTGTCCTGTCTTAGTTATTTCTCAAGAATTTCAAAGAATTTGCCTGGGGCTTTGTAAATTCTTTAAAGGGGCACCCGCGTTGGACGACCGCTTGTCAAACTTCTGGCGGCAGTGTATCGTATCATGAAAATACCTTTTTTACGCGTTTACGCTCAGTTTCACTAATTAACTAATTTGTTACGTTATGTGTTTTTCTTCAACGAATTTCAACGAATTCCTGAGCCTATAAAATCTTTCAATTACTTTACTGGACTGTCTTGAAAATTAACCATGTCACAAGTGCAGCGTACGTAAAAGTTACTGTATATGCTGAATAAGTAATACAGTGGCAATTCTGTTCGAAATAATGTAAGGCGAGAAAAAAGGAAACAGTCATAAGCTTGTTCGTTTGGCTCTAACAAGTTTTCAAGAGAATTCTTTGTCACTTCCCAGAAGTCGAAACTCATACTTAGTGGAGACGTTATTAAAGCGTAAGACTTTACTGAAATCTTTCTACTCTAAGAATGAATTTCCAGCATTATTGCACGCGGCTTGTCCTTATCGTACCATCTTAAAAGCTGGCCGTGTGCACATGACTTCACTTTCCCACTCGTTATCTCACGCCTTCGTACACGTTTACCTATTCAGAGGGAACTTGGCGAAATTATCCCCTCGCTTAGTTGGACTAAAAAAAACGTCCTTTATATTCACAGGAACAGTCAGACACTCGCATAAATTTTAGCACAACTTAACGAACTCCTACCATCAACTGCCTTTGGATAGTGAAAAATGCGAGTGTTTAACGGTTACTTGCAAAGATGGATAAATCATTGTCTCCTTGAATGTTAGTATCCCAGAGAAAGTACATAATTGTTGCTATGTGCACTCGGCTGTTTTTTTATTATCCTTGAAAAGTTGGGATAACTTATCAGCTTTTATCATAAAGGATAATCTAATTGAAATGGATGTGACCATGTATCTTGTCAGTAAAAATTATTTTTTATTACGCAACCAGTATTGATATCCGTAATAACATTGTCGCAGGTACTATTGCGATTTTTATTTGGTACCGTCTTCCAAGAAATAACGGGTAGATTAAAGGGACGTAAAAGTTTTTCTCCCGATAAACTTTGCCAAACCACGATACTTTAAATTTGATTTTTCTTTATCGACTCTGTGAGAAACTCTGATCAACTTACCTTCGGTAAACGCTTTGAATTGTATCTACTTTACCGGCCAACGGTATCAGAGCTATAACCTAAAATTCCTTATGAATGACAGTGCATCAAGCAAAACGTTGCTCCAGACGCTGAGCAAAGTGGCAACAGTTTTTCAAATATATACCAGTAAGTGATCAGTGAATTTTATTGAAAAAGCTATGATGCACGTAATTTTTCTCGTCGTAAAATAGTCTGTGTTTTCTGAATATAGAATTTTCAACAAATTCGCGTATGGTTACCAACGCAAAGGGTGAGTGTCGTGAGGTTAGGTTTCTTGTTGACTATTCGAATCGAAGATGAATCAGCCCATTCTGCTAGAAGAAAGCACGCCCTTTAAATTGTCCAGAGTGCTCGAACGTCTCATGACGAGTCTGCCCAGGAATGCCAGTCATCACGATCATCTTATGGCAGCATTGATCGTCTTATTGGCGGAGGCAGGTTTTTGGCCGTACGAGATGACAGTCGACAATACTGTGAAACGGTAAACCACAAACATAAACATTGAATCAAACGTTCAAATGTTCCTCTAAAATATTACTTGTTATTATAACAATTCTAGATGGCATACGGACTTACTGAAAATTCCCGAAAAGTTGAAGACAGAAGATGGCATCTACAGAATGAAGTTATCTCTGCCAATTCTACCGCATAAAGTATGCAAACTGATCGCCATTCCCACCGGAGACGTCTTGGTTGTGAATTTAATTCCGCCTTCCGAAAATGTTACAACCGGCTACAACATGGCTATTCAGACGCTGAAATACTTTAACCCTCATTCGAGTGATCTTGCCGGTCGTTACATCAATCTCAAAGAATTATCCTTTAGGTAGAGAATCTCATAAAATCGTTTGAGCTTCATATCTTCGTGATGGTTAATATAAATAATCATAGGTTTAAGGATGGCCTGACGACACCGTTGCGCACGGATCTTCTTCAGGATGAGGGAATAATTAATCCTAGCCTTCAGGGATTACCCGTCGAGATAAAATTACATATTCTGAAGATGCTGCCTATAAGAACCGTGCGACGAATTGGCGAATGCAATCGCGAATTGTACAGTCTCTCCAAGGCGCCAGAAATCCGGCGATACTTCAAGACATAGATTCGGCCAAAATCGTTTCACTCGTAATACGCAAGTGCAACCGTAAATGTGATACGAACGAATTACTTAACTTTAATTAATAAAATTTATATTTTTCCAATCGATTGATTATTTTCAATAAATGATGATAGTCGCATCCATTAATGTTGCTCGATTCACTTGAACACCTCGCGATTCCTATGGTATCGGAAATGGGGAGGACTTTCGTGTCCGATAATCGTTATCACTTGACGTGGAGATTTTGCTTTGATTCATGTCTTTTTTTAGCGGAGGAACACACGCACGAGGTCGCGCACAACGAGAAGACTGAAAAGGAACAAAATAAATCACAGATTAACGGTGACAATGGTGAGTGAACGCATATTTATTTTTAAATTCCCATTCATTTCCGACTCTTCTACCATGTAATGTCTCTGGAAATAATACTCTAGATCATATCGGAGTCCATTCAAAAAGCAGACTGGCAATACATGTAGTGTATGTATACATACAATCAAGGCAATCTATTCCCATGTACCTCCTTAATGCTTTCTTTGCGTTCGTCCGCGAATTTAATCGAGAATAGAAAGAATTGTATCGACGGGAGGCCGTTCTCTGATGGAAATAAAAATTCGCAGGGAACGAAGATATCTGACGTTGATTGAACACGAGTCGAGATGAAAGCTCCGATGAGAAGCTCCTTTCGAAAGACACGAGTAACAGTCTAGGGTAGATGGATTATGTAAAATCCCCAAAAGTTTTGCTTCTTGCGTAACTTTTGCAATCAGCCGATGAAAAAGTAGAAGTGGACGATTCACATTGAATTGAAAAACAGATACCGGATGTCTTGGGAGTATGTTTAAAATTTGACGTATTTCCTGCCTGCTTAAAACGCTAAATTATTTCACCCAAAGTATTGGCTGTAGCTTTACTACGAAATACTTCAGGATCTTTTTGATCCTTGGCAAATATTTAAGCTGCAGTCCGGAAATGTGCTTGCGTAACTAAACTGGAAGTACTTCGGGCTTTTTCAAAAGTCTGTACTCCCCTTGTATGTTTACCAAAATGTCTATTGATTTGATGCTCGTCTTTTATTCTCTCTCTCTCTCTCTCTCTCTCTCTCTCTCTCTCTCCCCTATGCGGTTTTTTTTCTGAAACCTCCATACACAGACTCTTAAAATGAAACTTTCAATCCAGCTGGAATAAAAATGCTGTTAAAGCGACTCTCTGTGTAAAGCTAAGAAATACATTTTCTGAAATATGAAAATTGCCATCCCTCGGGAAGATCCCGTGACTGGTGCACATTCCAGACGAAGTACAGTCTGGAAAGAAAGGAGCAAGCAGTTTGCATTCCGCGAGCGTTCGTCCCTACATCGTAAAAGGACCTCCTGGATAAAAGGGAAAAATCAACTAGAACGGGACGAACGAGTTCACAAACTACGTCCTCGTTAAATTCTCTATTGGTTGTATTAAGTATATTTATGTAGAAGTCAAAGACGGAAGCGGAAGTTCGACCCTCGATTCCCATGAATTTTCAAAAATCCACCCTCAACGCATTCGAAAGTTCGACATGCAACCTCAGTACCGTACCTACACCAGGATCAATCCTTGGGGTTTCTTTTACTGTTGTCGCTGGACCTCCCCCATTCCCGCCCCTCCTATCCCCCTAGACTTCTCTCAAGATCTGGTCCAGGGGATGTGAAAAGTCTGAGAAGAAAATGGAAGAGGATATTATTTTTACTCCTAGGACCTTTGTGACAATATTCTTCATCCGGTTGACCGTGGGGATGAATTTTGAATTTTCTCTCTCGGTTACCAAAACCATCCCTTAGCTCTACACGTTCCGAGATGATCTTTGCAGCTGCCTTTGGAAACATTTTTTTGATGCAGCCTACTAACCCCCTAACAGATACGATCTGAGGGTCCACGGAGTAAATGATTATTGTTTTGTAGGTTCCGATAGGGTTGTTTCCCTTGGACCAATATAGGGAAGAAAAGGGTATTACCCAGGAGCTGGAAGTTCCTTTTGGAATTCAGCCGGATAAGGCTGCCTTTCTGGAGACCTAACCCTTGGCAGTTGTAAAGGGTAGAAAAGGGTGAGGGTGTAGCAACAGAAGTGGGTTAGGATATAGGGGCTTGGGGGGGGGGGGAAGGTTAATTTCAGAGATGAATCCGCCAGCGTATCCCTACACGGAAGCTGCAAACTCTCTTTCGACAGTTACCCTCGAACTATCATCCCCTTTTACAAAGCCCCACAGTACTGTAGGATAATTATGAGAGTAATAGCAACCTATCGTGAACTTCCTGGAGTCGCTGAAGACGCCTCCGACGCCTCCGACGCCTCTGGACCGCTAGTCAAATAAACGTCGCGCGGAGTCACTTGCACAACTCGTCGTAATATTTGGAGTCGTCGCCAATGTAAACGAGCCTGCAAATCCGCCGGCGCTTTGTTTACATGTTAAACTGTCAAAGGAATGAATTTACCGAGAGGATTTTGATCCTGCGCTGATGGACCCAGCCTCCCACCGGCCTCCCCCCTCACTCTCGCACGTGCATAGATTAACGTAGCCATATGTGGTATCCACGCGATGTTTATGCCTGCGAACGATTATAGAGAGGATGCGGGTCTATTCTCATGTGACGAAAGTACTCCGCGCCGTATTTCGACACGACTGAACTTCCTATTTGTGTGGTGGGGATGACGGAGGATACAAAATACAGGAGGAGGCTGCGAGACCCTTTAACCCCAGGGTCCGAACCGTCTGAGCTTCTGGTCTCGTGCGTAATCGAGCGACAGTCGCCGGAATTACGTCCTCGGGAGTTTCCAGCGCAACCACGGCTGCGGAGTGTCGCCCCCTACCCGGCCCAAGCCCGAACCCCTGCCGGAACAAAATCCTCGACCCTGAACTCGACCTAAATCCTAAATCCCACGTCTTGCGGGCTCCGAATTTGCATCTTGTATTTTCCCACGGAAGCTCGTGTCTTCGTGAAAGAGATGGCGACGCGATCGAACGTGGACCGAGAACGGGTCCAGGGCACAATTTCATCCCGGTGTCAGCTTGCTTCGCGTGGAGTATTGTTTACCTCATAGTAAAGAATTTCACAATCGCAGAACCGACGAGAGCTGCTCGGTGTCCCAGTGTAATTGTCTCGGTCGAGCCGAGCGTCGCGACGGCGTCCAAGACGTCAGAGACGGACTCCGCGCGTCTGGAATCTACATTTCTTTTCCTTTTTTTTCAATTCAAATTCCAGCATCCTCGTTCAGTTGGGTCTTTGGGTCCTCTCGAGGGATTCCTGGCCGGATGTCCTGATAAGGATGATCCCAGTGTACCTGCCGACTGCAGGACCAAGAGGCCAGGCGAAAAGCTCGAGGATTTCGAAAAGTGGGTCATCCAAATGTCCTGGAGCGTTTTTCCAGGCCAAGCCCAGGCTGCGCTAGCCCAGTTATCAGTTTGCGTGCAACCTCCTCTACGAGGAGAGCTTGCGTTTCCGAAGCCGGGAAAGCTAAGCTTGCGCCGTTTCGATTTTCTCTCTCTCTCTCGCTCACTCGCTCCCCTGTACCACCGACTCTCCTCCGGGTTGCCTCGCGACTCTCTCATCCCAGTGCGCGCATCGAACCCGTCCTGGACGAAAGTCCTTCGCGCGTCACTCGGATCTTCCTGCCCGGGTTTTCGAATCCGCACGCGGATTTCTTACCGGAAATCGCGTCAAATAGGTAACACTGTGCGTTTCCTCTTGTGACCTGGAGTGATCGTGATGCTGTCCATTTTTTAATTCAAGTTCGATAATAATAATAATAATGGCTATATAATATTATTGTGTGAATACTATAATTTTTAATGGAAGATCGGCACATGATTTCGGTGGGAATTTTGGAAATTTTCGAAATTCATTCTTACGATACTCTAGGTCGATTAATTTACTCGTCTCTGTTTATTATTTTCCTACGAACTCGCGGTATTATCAGTGATAACGCGGTACAACAAAAAGTTATCTTTCAAGTTTTTCCAGTAATTCGCACAATCGCAGTCGCTAATTTTTGACTATGAAAAACGGAAATGGACTGTTTTCATAACTCGATTATTTTTTATGCATACCGTTCAGTATCGGTAAACTGATGCACTGTCATACTTTGGTGAGGATTCGCTTGTGTCGTTTACAAGATTAATTTAATTGCGTATTTCGATGAATCTGAATTCGAAAAATTTTATATAAATTTTCTTCGTTCCTATCGGCTAAAGCCGTTTGATCGCTTTGCGTCGATTTTACGTGCGTAAGTGAATCGACACGTAAAGTATAATCGAATGACGTGTATGAGCAAATTAAAATTTTATGGAAGATTGGCTAATAAAAAAAAAAAAGCCGAGAAGTCAATGAAAATAGAAGAAAAAAATGTAATCGGGTAGCAGTCGGATATTATAGGGCGTGTTTTCATGGGTTACCCAACAAAGGCGCGGTTTCAATTTATCCCCCTGATATTTTAGTGCGCGTCTGGTAGAACGACTAAATTAGCAAGGCGCGAGCCCGCGACAGGCGAACGATTACAGAGCAGAGGGACGGCGTATCTTTGCTCTTGAATAGACGAAAAAGGCAAGGAGCTTCGAGAAATAAAAGAAATGTAAAAAGCAGAGAAAGCTCAAACATTAATCAGTCCTTGCCAGCGTTATTAGTCTTTTCGAAATAAAAATACAAAAAGAACGAAAAACTGTCAAGAATAATCTCCATCAGCCGACAGTTTCCCAAAGGTAATCGCTCGTAATTCCCACCGAAGTTATTACGTATCGACCTTCCATTTTTCAGTAATAACAATAATAATACGCATTCACCGACTGCCATCTCTTGTCCCTGTGCCAAATTAATAAATGATTCTCGCGAATGATTCATCGAGAGGCTGAACCGTTTCAAGAGAAAAATAATTAAAAAAAAAAAAGAAACTATACACAGGTAAATCAGCTGAAAAGATTTAAATAAAAAAATATTTTCTAAAAAAAAAATCGTCTCATGAAAACAAAAAAAAAATGTTCGATCTCGCGTACATGAATTATTGCCGTAAAACTGTAGCGCGATTTTGACTCTTCCCGTATTAAAGTCTAAAGTCGCAGCTTTTACAGAAAGCTGCATAAAATCGATGAACGAGTCACGTGAAGATATGCCGAATAAATTGCCGTCTCCAGTTCGAGATCACGAATCCGCGAGAATCGGCTATCGCGAGTGATCGATAAGAATAAGCGAAGCGTCGGCACCACGAGATGGCCAATTTTCGCAATCTGAGAGAGGAAGTCGAACTGGTTAACGGAAGTACCGATGAGTCCCGGAAACGTGCACTGTGGCAGTGTTACACCTCGAGGATGTTGACGCACAGTCACAGCGACGGGGAGTTCCCGATTTATTCCCAAGGTAAGGACAACTGCCCTTTGCAGGAGGAAGGGCCAGGGGGCGGTAGAAACTTTTCTTCGGGCTTCGAAACGCGTCTGCCGGTTATTAACGGGGACGCCCGTTATAAGTTCAGTCGGCCCCCACGGCCCTCGCTCCAAAATGAATTCGAAACGCGCCCGTCGAATCCTTCATATTTCCGCCACGTTTCTCAGCCGCTCCGATTCATCATTCAAATTATCAAATATCAGTCCGTGACTGTAGACACGTCTGTATGCCTGTACTTTGCTATTGACAATGAAATAAAAATGTAATATCGTGGGACTAGCATTATAATGCGATCGAAAGTCCAATTCATATAATTACGATGATTACATTTTTGAAATTTTATTAATTTTACATCGCTTTGTCATCGGATTGACACAGGTATTGTTTTATTGATTAATGTACTGTACTGATTAATTATTAATTACTGATTACTGATTAATTAATGTACTGATTAATGTACCTGTATCGTGTGAGTGAGCGCTCGGTGGTCGATACTCGAAAGTGGGGGAACTGCCTGGTATACGGGGAACGTATCGGAGCTGTCATTCTTCTTATTCTTCCCAGACCCGTTCACCTGGTCGGATGCGGCCCTTCCTTAGCTGCGAGACCCGTTTCTACATTTCATTTTTTTTTTTTTTTTTTTCGAAAATTTTTCAAACTCCTTCAAGGACATGAGAAATTTACGGTATACGGATCGCGGCACGATGTCAACGTGACGTTAGAATTCACCGGAAGCTGTTACGACATTGAGATAAGATAAGTCGAGAAAAAGGCGAGATTAGGCGATTTTCTATGACGTAAACTTTTGCCAATCGACCGCGTGCTCGCGATGCCTGCCGTAGGTATATCTATATTGCCAGCAAGTATCGAGCGACACTTTTCCAAGCTTAGACAACGCGAGGCGCTATCGAAGAGAATCAATTTGAAATCTTTGAAATTACATTTTCAGTAGGAAAAAAATATATATTTTTCTACACTTGCTCTTGTTTCCAACGATATTCCTATCTAATCTACAATAGAGGTATTTATCCCGATGGTTGTAAAAAGATAGGATAAGGCGATTAAAATTTTAGATGTGGAGACTTTTACAAAACTATAAAGATAGTTCGTCTTGTATATATCGTTAGGTACTTTTCTTTATTAATTTATACTTTTTCTCCTTCTATAATTAAATGATCGATACGCGTGTGATGCTTGATTGTGACTAGGTACTATGACAATTAAGAAAAAAAAAAAAAAAAACCAAAAAAAGCGAATAAAATTAACACTTTAAAATACGATGAGAGAACGTCTTACGAAATGAATTTGTTTTTCTATGAATTTTGAGAGTTCGGTGCTCGCAGTAAAGAACGCCTTTTACTGCTGGCTGAGTTTCGGCCGCCTAAGGCTCTTTTTTCATCCCGCTGCTGCGCGCATTTGAATCTTTTCTTTGGGCAATGACGTCAGAGTATGTCGAGAGCATTTTCGAGTTGCCCGAATTAATCAGCGCGTAATACGCGTTTACGCGGATATATAAATAATTGTAAATGATCGCGTCATAATTTTCCTTACGATTAGACCGTAAATCTGGCAAAAGTCTCGGAGCTGACTTTTTCTCATGGGACATCTCAGTATATTGATAATTTCGGCGCTAATTTGCTATGCGGATTTTTCGGGCAACCATTCTCGAAGATCTCCTTGCAAACTTTTGCCACTCGTTTCCCAAGTTCTTTGGTAAATCTATGAGCGCTCGTATCCCTCCTCGTGGACCTCAGCCAACAAGTCTCCACTTCCGTTTCGCAGTATCTGTAATGATGCGACGACGCAACATCCGGATCGACTTCTACCTCCTCGAATGCTGTCGAAATGCAATTCTTATCAGATCACTTCCTCTTATGGATTCTTATTCGAAAGATAGCAAAGGTCTGCGCTTACCTCTCCGATAAAAGGAACTGTTACCCTTTCTGAAATCCCACACTCGGTGATTCCCAATTTCCACGACGTCCTGTCCGCGAATTATGTATTTACTACGGTCGTGCATAATATTCGTGTGCGGCCATCTCATGGTTTTCGCGTGCAAATACAAAATTGGTATATCTAAAAAGAATTGCGAAATTTAATTAAGAAAAAAAAAAAAAGTAATTATCCAAAAATTAAGAAAAAAAAAAAATCTAACTACCCACCAGCGCTCTGAGTGACTGGGTCGTCTTCGTGCATGAGATAGAAGAAAGCATTTCTAAAGACATATGACGCCGCTCGGTTTGATTCTTCTCCTTTGGGAGGATCCAGGTACTTCATCATTTCCATGTAATTCGCATGTCTCTTAGGAACGATAAATTCGTCGACGTCAACTTGGGCTACGTACTTGTATCTCATATACGAACTGCTTCTGTAGAGGCAATCGTTAATGGATGCGAAAAGCCCGTCGACCCTTATGGTTTTCTCGAAAATATAATAGGGCGGCAGTCGCCATTGCAGCACCTTCGTCACGTTGAGTTCGCTGTAGTAGTCGAGGACTCGGCCGACTTCCGGCGTGATGGACCCGTTGTAGAAGGTGAAACGATCGGCGCCCATCATTCGATAGAATTCGACGAATTCAATGAGCTGCGGGGAATTTTTGAACTTGTGGTGAAACGACGGAACGCAAACGGCCATAAATTTCTCCTCCTTTCTTTTCCCGCTGTTAAATCCGTCAGCGGGATAACGAATGGCGACGAAGTCTTCCCTCCCGAAGTCCGAGTATCCTCTCGTGTAATTTTTCGACACTGTCACGCCGACGGGCGTCAGACCGCGCGTGTCGTCGCCCGTTGGAAATTCGCAAAGGATAAAAGCGGCTATGTAGCGCATGTGGAAATTCTCATCTCTGGCTATTGGCTTGATCCTCGCGTTCGCTCTTTTCAGGATAAAATGTTTTTTGCCATCCGAAGATTTTACGTACTCGTAATAGCAGGTCAGCGGTAGGTCTTCTAGATCCAAACGAATTATACCAATGATCCTGATCTGAGAATGAAGGAATAAATTTTCTTTTTTTAACGTCAATCAAACATCCAAACTCACCATCGCCCAGGGAACTCGATTGTGGAGTGCCTCGGGTATTTCTTTCAGGAGGACGTCCGGTCGGTCGTCAAAGTAAGCCGAAAATATGTGGGTTTGATAAATGTCAGTTAATCGCCAGGCGTCGAGACGCTCGTCACTCGGTTGATTCGGATACTTCAAATTTCGTAACCTCAACGCGTGATTCTTGTAGAATTTATTTAATTCCGAATTTTTCTGTAATATCCAAAATTCACTAAATTCACCTTGTCTTTTATGATATTGAAAAAAAAAACGATCTTGCTGATGAAACATAAAATATAATTACCATCCATCGGATGCCCACTAAACTCAAAACCAACAGGATCAAAATAAAGATCAAAGTTTTCTTCGGAACGAACAAGACGGACGACGGCCATGTCGAAAATGTTGGTTTGTGCAAAAGCTGGTACTTGTACATAATTATTGTGAGCGATAGAGGAGAGCCAGCAAACTAACAACATGTAGCGAGGATACTGACAGTGTGAATCCAGGCATTCCTTATCGATAGATAAGTCGCGGTGATTTATCAGTCGATGGGGGGGGGGAGGGGGGG